AAAAAAACTAATGGTCAAAATGGACGCCTTTTGTACACAAATAGTGTAAAAATATGGTATATCAAGGTTGTGGACCCCGTAGAGGCCACAATTTTTATTCGATTTGGATAAAAATTTAAATATATGTTTTTATCATAAACATTTTGGTTCATTTTGATAATCACACATATCAGAACGTAACTTCCTGGAGTATGGCCCCTGATTGGTTGAAAACTCGCATTTTTAGCTTGTGGATGCTGTAGGGGTCACAATTTTTTTTCCGATTTTAAAAACCGTTTAGATATATCACCATTCCTCAATAATGAAGGTTGAATTAGAATTTCTGGAAAATCGAAATGAAAGTGACCGACAAAATGGCTGTTCTTTGTACGCAAATTGTGTATAAATATGTAATACAAAGGTTATGGACCCTCTAGAGGTCACAATTTTTATTCGATTTTGATAAAACTTAAAACATATCTTTATATTCCAAAAATCTCAGTCCCTTTTGATATTTGTGAATTTCAGACCATAACTTTCTGGATTATGGCCCCTGATTGTTCTAAAATGTGGTTGTATATTGCCGTCGCCCCCGTCTGTCTGTCCATCGTCCACAATTTCTTATGAACACTCTACAGACTACATTTGTCATCTGATTGTTTTGAAATTGATATATGTTGTGTGCATTAGCGAGATGAAGAAGCCTATTTAATTTCAATAACTTCCGTTAATTTCTTCTGGAGTTATGGCCCTTGTTTCAATTTGTTGCACCTTGTGAAAGCTCTAATGACAAAAGTTATCAACTGATCTGTATGAAATTTATATGCCTCATTTAAATTAGTGAAACAAAGAATCCTATTGAATTTCAGCAATTTCCGTTAATTACATCTAGAGTTATGGCCCTTGTTTCACTTTGTTGAATCTTGTGAACACTCTAATGACAACAGTTATCATCCGATCTGTTTAAAATTTATATGCATCATTTAAATTAGTGAAATGAAGAAGCCTATGGAATTTCAGCAATTTCCATTAATTATGCCGTGAGTTATGGCCCTTGTTTGACTTTGTTGTACCTCTGTATGAAATTTATATGTATGGTTTAAATTAGTAAAACGAACAAGCCTATTGAGTTTCAGCAAATTTCCATTAATTACATCTAGAGTTATGGCCCTTGTTTCACTTTTTTGAATCTTGTGAACGCTCAAACGACAAAAGTTATCACCCACTCTGTACGAAATTCATATGCATCATTTAAATTAGTGAAATGAAGGTGCATATTGAATGTCAGCAATTTCTGTCAATTACTTCTAGAGTTATGGCCCTTGTTTTACTTTGTTGAACCTTGTAAACGTTCGAACAACAAAAGTTATCATCCGATCTGTATGGAATTTATATGCATTATTTGAATTAGTAAAACGAAAAAGCCTGTCGAATTTCACAAACTTTCTGTTATATCAAACCCCCTGTCAGCCAAAACAATGTCACCAGGAAGCAATTTCAGCAAAAGCCCACAATTTTCAGTGATATGTTTATCAGTGACGCGTCCTCCCCATGCCTTGGACAGAAATGACATGGACCCTTGTGTAATCCCAATTAAAATTTTACTCTGTTAAGATGCTTATATTTGCTCCGTGTTTCAGCACGGGCCAATAAATTGGAGGGTCTTTAAATAAAAACTTCAAAACAGTCAATTCAATTATAATGGAAACTTTGACACCAAAATGTTTCCTGAAATCCATGGGCATAGACATTTGTAATTCCTCTCTTTCTGGCCACAAAATTAGGCATTTCATACGATTATGCATGATGTTAATCAAATCACTGAATACTTTGGAAGCACAGCTTACAGATATCTGAAGCGGTAAGCCAACTCTTGAAAGGTTATATTAAGTCTTAGTTTCTTTCCAGTTACCATCAGTTTTTCAAATTTAGTCAGAGAACTTTTATGGGTTTCTGGAATGCTGTCAATTATAAAGTTATATAAAGCCACCAAGGCAGAGTAGGTTAAACCTGTGTATTGAACCAACGATTTCCGATAAGTACAGTCAGAGTTGTGGCCCTTGATCACTTTGAAAAATCTTGTGGATGTTCAAGCGACTAAAGTTAATATAAATTTATACAATCTGATTAAACTACAGACCTATATTTCATTTTGTTTGTTATACTTTCAATGGCCTGCACTACATGAAGATCTGGGAGAATGCTAGATCGGTGACGGTCCTGCACATTTAAGCACATATGACGTCATATATGGATTGTGGGTTAGGTTTAAGAATTTGGGGGAGAGGTTAAGTCTCCACATAAGCACTGACCTAGGATGATGAAAAATTACTTCGTGATATTTCCCTAACCTTGGACCAAGCCTAACCCTAATCCTAATGCACAATCGACATATGACGTCATGTGCAGGACCATCTCTGATCTAGCGTTCTCCGTAGATCTGACCTTTTATAGTGGAAGGGCGCGTCAGGGGTCTTACGAGCGACTTTTGACCCTATGACGTCAGGCATTTGATAAACCAATCAGCGTTGATGTTTCTAGTGCGTTGCACGTCAAGAACTCCCCATAACAAACCGTTTCATTGGCTAATCCCTCATATCAACCAGAACGCAGTTTATATAACAACTTGTCGTAAAGACAAGTTAAACGAAATTTTGAACTATAAAAATCGAAACGAAATAGGATCAGTGTTTTAATCAGAATGAAATTTATACACAGTCTTCAAGCTCATGTGATAAACAATCAAACAAATTCTAATTAGTGTTGAAACTACTATTCGGATATTTGTTAACGGATACAAAATAAGGGTTATCCGTATCATTATATGCCCACATTTTCATGTGGGCATATATTGTCGTCCGGACGTCCGTCCACAATTGTTTGTGAACAGTCTACAGGTCACAATTATTATCCGATTTCAATGAAACTTGAAATATAAGTTTATCACCCTAAGATCTTGGTTCCTTTCGATATTGGCATGTATCGGACTGTAACTTATGGATTATGTATGAAAAATCACGTTTTTAGCTTGTGAACACTGTAGAGGTCACAATTTTTATCCGATTTGATTTAAACTTGAAATATATGCTTATAACCCAAAGATCTCGGTTCCTTTCGATATCGGAACGTAACTTCCTGAATTATGGCCCCTGATTGTATGAAAAATCGTGTTTTTAGGTTGTGGACCCTATAGAGGTCATAATTTTTATCTGATTAAAAAAAAACGTATTATTATATCACCGCTACACCCTAAGGACGACTGAGTTCGAATTTCGTGAAAATCGGCCTAAAACTGACAGACAAAATGGCCGCCCTTCGTTCTCAAATAGCGTAAAATTATGGTATATATCAAGGTTGTGGACCCTATAGAGGTCACATATTTTATCCGATTTTGTTGAAACTTGAAATGTAAGTTTATAACACAAAGATCTTGGTTCCTTTCGATATTCGCGCATTACACCCTAAGGATGGTTGAGTTTGAATTTCGTGAAAATCGGCCCAAAACTGACCGTCAAAATGGCCGCCCTTCGTTCTCAAATAGCTTAAAAATATGGTATATCAAGGTTGTGGACCCTATACAGGTCACAATTTTTATCCGATTTTGTTGAAACTTGAAATGTAAGTTTATAACCCAAAGATCTTGGTTCCTTTCGATATTCGCGCATATTGGACCGTAATTTCCTGAATTATGGCCCCAGATTGTACGAAAAATCGCTTTCTTTTTAGCTTGTTCTCTATCCATCTCTCGAAAATGTGGGCGTATCCTGCCTGGCAGCCGCTGGTTTTACTATCCGTTTACTATTCGTTACAATATTCTGACATTCTGTATGCTCTATATTTAGTCATTTTTACATCTGATTACTTTGAAATTTTCCCCAATGCAATTGATCACGTACGCAGCTCTGAGCATAATAATGTCAACATTATGCGTATTATTTAGTGATATTAACTAATAAAATTATTAATGCAGTGCAACGAAAACAGTGGTCTAAATAAAAAAAAATATTCATTCATTCCCTGCGCTATAGTTTGCGGCATACAAATTACGACTGTGTTTTGACTTCCCGCAATGAAAGCTATTCATAACGACCTAGGTCACGTATATTCCCACTCACTGATTGGTTCAATAGTAGTAGATTATCAGAATGAGGCAAACGACCTTGGCGGAATAAAAGGCACATGTTTTTATTTTACTTTTTTCATTCGTGTTGAATGAGGAAAATGATAAGTGGGAGGGTGTGGATTACAGGAGTTGTTATACTATACAAATTTCTTCACCTCATTGATTTTTTGGGATGTCATAGATAGTCTTAATAATTACGGCTAAAGGTAGGCACGTTTTTTTCTTGTGGCTCAAACAATTTCCAAATCGAAAGTACAATTTCATACTCGGCATACACAGACACTCATAAACATTGAAACAAGTAAGAAATTATGAGTACCGGTATATGAACTTTTGATGTAATTTTGTTCAAGAATTTCACGTCTCACGTCTCTGAATTATCCGAATAGTATTTGGATAGCCAACACTAATTCTAATGATTTCTGATAATTACTTAATGGACTGTTACTCGTAATCAGATTTTAGTGTGTTGTAAATGTTTCCATTACTTACAAAAGAAAAAAGTTGTGGCAACCCTTGTTGACTGACCGGACCTCATAGCTGCTGTGGGCGTATGTTTTGTTGCCTGGCAGCCTATCTTTTATATATAATATAAGTGGGCCAGTCATTTGAATTGAATGGAAATTCTTGGCTCTGTGGGCGTATGTTTTGTTGCCTGGCAACCTGTCTTTTATATATAATATAAGTGGGCCAGTCATTTGAATTGAATGGAAATTCTTGGCTCTGTGGGCGTATGTTTTGTTGCCTGGCAACCTGTCTTTTATATATAATATAAGTGGGCCAGTCATTTGAATTGAATGGAAATTCTTGGCTCTTGGAAACCTTAGAAATAAATAATGTGTTAACTGGAGATTTAATTTCATTCTATCTTGTTTTTATGTTTTGTATACATGTATAGGAGTGGAGATGTGATAAAACATTACCTGGTGAGATTTGTTCTAAAGGACCGTTATTGACAGTTGAGTTAGAACGATTAAGTTACAGTTCAAAACTCGATCCAGCTGGTTTGTTTAATTTAATAGTTCAAGACAGGTCGCCAGGTAAATGGTAGTTTAATTTAAAAAAATACCTCAGTTTGGATTCCAATAGAGACTACCCACCATCTGCTTCAGCTTTCCTTCCTGGGGTCAGTGGGGTATTACGAATCGATTGCAAGTAGCCATTTTAACCCGTTAAGCGTGACGTTTTTAAAACGTTAACTACCCTCTATTGTGTAATTAATTTGACAAAGTGACGAAGAACTATGTACTATGTTCTAAGAATAGGTTGGGGAAAATACCTCCCAGGCGTTATATTACGCCCAACACACAGTGAGTGGCAGTTGTCCAGGACGTAATATAACGTCCTACACATGCTGCAATTGTGGGGGAATTCCCAAGGGATTCCCCCAAGTGACGAACTATGTTCTAAGAATAGGTTGGGGAAAATACCCCAAGGCGTTATATTACGCCCTACACACAGTGAGTGGCAGTTTTCCAGTGCTTTATATAATGACCTACGCACATAACAGGTTAAATTGGTTGAAAATGAAAAAATCAGATTCTAGATAAAGATGATCACAAGGTTTGGTAGTCTTTGTCAACAAGACTTGGTAGACATGGTCATATGGTGTAAAGGTGAATCTGCAATATGGAACTCTCTTTTAACTGTTGGAAACTGGAATTTAATGGTAATTGTTAAACTCTTTTAATTTGGATGAAAAATATTGTTGTTATTAACAAGCTGCATTCAGAAGGTTTCCACAGAACAACAAGTCAGCAGATAACCCTCAATGTGTAGACTTTTGTTCAGTAGCAGACTTGGTCTTAAAACCATTCCAGGATTCTTTCACCTACCAAGTCAGCCCATTATTCCTTAATTATCAGTATTTGTAATGTATCCAGTCCAGCAGGCCATTTTTATCTGGCGGCCCCAGCTCACTGGGTAATGTTAGTAGAGTGTGACTTAATATTAAAAAGTTTTGATTATTTCTATATTTTAGGATGAATGAATATATTTTTGTTGTTTTATAGCACCCCCATCACCACTACCTGTCACAGCAATAGTACTAGGTACTCTAGGAGGACTGGTATTTTTAGTATTATTATATTTTTTACTAGCAGCGTATCTCGATAATAAAAAAGCCATCTATATTGGTCCATGCTGTTTATGTAGAAAATACTGTAAAACATATACAGGTTTGTTTAATATAATTACTTCCAGAATCTTCAAACTGTGGACACAGATCAACCTATCTTAAAATTATATTTGGAATGTGTTTCACCAGTCTAGACAGTCACATTGTCTTTAACAAAAGGGCTGCAAATTGTTTCAGCTGCCCAGGGCTTAACCTTTAGTGGTGGGAAAAAAAACTTAAGATTTTCCATGGTTTTCAGGATTTTATCCGCGGGAGTCTTCACATTACATCTAAAACTCCTCTGTAATTGGTAATTTGATTCAAATGATATTTTTTTCATAATTACAGATGATAGTACATTTACGAACACAAGTTTTACATCAGTTCATACACGAGACTTGAGTGAAGTTCGTTTATAGAAGAACCCTGGTGACCTCGATATTTATGCTGTTATATACTTAAATCATCTCATTTAGCCGCCAATTACTGCATATCTTAATTGAACTTTTGATACTCCTATAATACATTTATTAAACAATAATTCAATTAACAATAGTCTATGACGTCACAATGTCATAGTTACATTATTATACAGGCAAGGGTAGTTATTTCTTAGTCTACAGACTACAAATATTCAATCCCACCACGGTTTTTATTTTATTTAATTTTATTTAATTATTCTCTTATTGTCCCCCGCCTTTCGAAGAAAGTAGGGGACTATTAAAATGGGTTTGTCCGTCTGTCTGTCTGTCCATTCGTCTGTCCGTCACACTTTTTGGGACACAATAACTCTCTTTCTAATTGAGCTAGAATGTTCAAACTTGGTGTAGGTGTTTATTAGGCCAATGCCTTGATGGAGTTCGAAGATGAGCATTTTCTACTTAGGGTAAGCAGAGATAAGCAATTTGATTGGTTGATGCTTTGGGACACGATAACTTTAGTTCTAATTAAGTGAGAGTGATGAAACTTGGTGTATAGTTTCATTACATCAATACCGTGACTAAGTTCGATAATGAACATGTTCTGCTCAGGGTAAGCAGAGCAATAAGCAATTTGATAGGCCGAGGCTTTGGAACACAAGAACTCTCCTTCTAATTGAGCTGGAATGTTCAAACTTGGTGTTGGTGTTTATTACGTCAATGCCTTGATGGAGTTAGCTTAGGCTAAGAAGCGATAAGCAATTTGATTGGTCAAGACTTTGGAACATAACAACTCTGCTTTTAATTGAGGTAGAATGTTTAAACTTGATGTAGATGTTCATTAGGTGAATGTCTTGACTGAGTTCAATGATTAACATTTTGAGCTGAAGTTAAGCAGAACTAATCAATTTCATTGGTCGATGCTTTGGGACAAGATAATCTTGATTCTGTCTAGTAGAGAGGGATGAAACTTAGTGTACAGATTGATTGCTCGATACTTTTGAAAAAAATAAATGTGCGATTAATTAATATGTGTCATCTATTTATTTTGGGATTTCGGCGGGGGACATCAGCCTCACTGTTGGCTTGTTTAGAATTAAGTTTCGGGTGGTACTTTGCCTCCAAGAGGTCGTTGTTTTTGCTATTAAGTCTATATAAAGGAAAAACACTAAATTTGCTTCATAAAATGTTAAATAGTTTAGATGACAGTATTCAGTTTACAATTGAGCAGAGTCAATCCACATTAAATTTTTTGGATGTGACAGTTAAGCTACACGCGAACAGCTCTATTGAAACTGATGTGTATTACAAAAAAAACGATACACATCAATATCTAAATTTTAATTCTTGTCACCCACCTCATACGAAACGAAATATCCCATATAACTTAGCTAGACGAATTTGTACAATTGTGTCCAATCAAGATGTCAAAGTTCAGAGACTACAGGAACTAAATGGTTTCTTATTAACACAAAAATATCCAGGTAAATTAATAGACGATGCTAACCAAAGAGCATTGAGTCTGGACCAAAGCGTGTTAAGACAACCTAAAGTTCCTGTAAACTCTGATAAAAGGAACGTTGCTTTAGTTACTACATTCAATCCGTCACAGAAAAATGGGAAATCTATCATTGAAAATTACATCCATATCCTTAAAAATAGCCAACCGATGGATAAAATATTGAGAAAAACAAATATAATCAACAGTCTAAAGGAAAGACCCAAATAATGCTTAGGTTGAGAATGAACCTCCATCAACAGCACATACTTCAACCAAAATACAGGATGATCCCGCTCAGTGAGCATCTTGAAGTATGTGGTGGGGGCAAATTTAGTGTTTTTCCTTTATATAGACTCAATAGCAAAAACAATGACCTCTTGGATGCAAAAGAAAGTTATTTTATTGAGAAGTACCACCCGAAACTTAATTCTAAACTAGAACTGCGATGCGGTAATGACGGGTTTCACTGATGCCACGTTACCCTTAAACATATGTCACTTATGGTACCAATGAAACCGAATCAACCAAATCCAGCATTATCAATTCATTTTATACATTTCTTACATGTAAGTGTACAGTACTTCCGGTGATAATGAAAATGTTCAATCAGATTTATAAAATCAGAAATGGCATAAGGCATCACATGGTGAAAATTTTATGTAAATCGAATAATAATTACCACTTTTACAGACCAAACACCTTGAAAAGTGACTTGTAGAAAATCGTCTATTTCTTTGTGGTATCTGTATGATTGTGTGGGTTCAATCTATTTGTTGATTGGAATCAAATATCATAATTTTAAAAACAATACAAATCAGACTCATTTGAATAAAATACCTGTTTTGAAGGCTAAAAATACAGTTTTTGCCAAAATGACGTTACTTTCGGTGACAGTAAAAGTGTTAAATTACTTGTATGAAATCGTAAATGGCATTAGGTATCATACACTGGAAATTTTATGAAAATCGAATAATAATTGACACTTTCCTCGTATCCGTATGAATTGGATATCATACGACAGTCCAATCATCGTGCCACCCAACGATACATTAATTTGTTTAATCCGTTGAAATTGGACGGAGAAATCCTGTTTTTCCCAAAAGCACCCATTTTTGGCCTTTTTTTCAAAATATCGAGCATTATTTTCGACTACTTTGTTGAAATTGCTTTGTGTTCGTAATTTTCCTTGACCACCATTGGCTAATTCAGTTTTTCAGTCCTAGATTAATTATTTATTATTCGATTTGTACAAAAGAAGGTTCATATACTGCGTGGTCCAAAATGTCATTTTTTTTGTTACCGGTAAAGATTCCTGTCGGCAACGGAAGTGACGTAAAATCAGCAAAAACTACAATTTTGACAGATTTTGACAGTTCGGTACAACTTTTTGAAAGCAAATATCATTTTTTTCAAATCTGATTTAACTGAAAGGGTGCGCCCTGTTAAGGGGCACAAAACATCGGGCTCAGTTTTTTTAATTTCTAATTCGGGCCATTTAGATTAAAAGGCGAAAAAAGGTGTAAAAATAAGCTATTTACAACCCATCCACCGTCTTCGTATAACAACATATTTCATCGTAACTTTCATAACCTTGTAGCAATAAACCATACAAAGAGAATGTATGTCAAAATTAGTTTGTAATATTAGCAGTTGTCGAGGAATAGGTAATTTTGCATGAGTCGCATTTCGTGCTATTTTGCCTGTACAAGAATCAATTATTATTCAATTTTCAATTTTCTTTCATCATTTTATGCCGAATGCCACGTTTGACTAGATTAAACCATTTTAACACCTTCACTGTCACCGGAAGTGACGTCGTTTAGCCTTCAAAACCGATATTTTTTTCAAATGAGTCATATATGTTATTTGTTTAAAAGTATGATATTTAATTTCAATCAACAAATAGAATGAACCCATACGACCATACAATACAAGCCACAAAATGGTTTCTAAATTGTAAGGTTGCAGAGAAATAGACGATTTTCTACTAGTCACTTTTTAAGGTTTTTGGTTTATAACAGTGTCAATTATTATTCGATTTTCATAAAATTTTCACCATGTGATGCCTTATGCCATTTCTGATTTAACATTTAACATTTTCATTCTCACCGGAAGTAATGTCATTTTAGCAAAAACTGTATTTTTAGCCTTCAAAACAAATATTTTTTTGAAGTGAGTTATATTTATTATTCGTTTAACATTATTATATTTCATTCCAATGGAAATATAGATTGGATCAATACGATCATAAATATGTCAAAAAATAGCTTCTAGCATCTTCTCTTGCAAAGAAATAACCAATTTTGTCGAGATCACTTTTTAAGACTTTTCGCATTTTTATACGCCCACATTGTGGACGCTCTAGAGGCTAAAGTTAATATCCGAATGACTTTAAATTTATACACAGTGTTTAAGGTCATGAGACGAATAAGCCTATTGATTTTCAGCGATTTCCGATAATTACTGCCAGAGTTATGGTCCTTGATCACTTTCAAAAATCTTGTGGACGCTCTAGAAGCCAAAGTTAATATCCTTTAAATTTATACACAAATCAACAAATAAAATGAACCCATACGATCATACAGATACCACAAAATGGTTTCTAACTTGTACGGTTGCAGAGAAATAGACGATTTTCTACAAGTCACTTTTCAAGGTTTTGGTCTATAAAAGTGTAATTATTATTCGATTTAAATAAAATTTTCACCATGTGATGCCTTACGCAATTTCTGATTTTATAAAACTAATTGGACATTTTCATTATCACCGGAAGTACTGTACACTTACATGTAACAAATGTATAAAATGAATTGATATTGCTGGATATAGTTGATTCTGCGTCCATTTTATTTGATGTGTGCAATGCTTATGTGGAAACATGTTTAATGGTTTCATTGGTACCGGAAGTGACATATGTTTAAGGCTAACGTGGCATCAGTGAAACCTGTCATTACTGCATCGCAGTTCTAGTTACTACTTGATATTATGTGATAAACAAGATATTCACGTCGTACTGTATGGAGACACAAGATCTGACAAATCAACTAATGAAAATATTGTATGTGTTGTTCATGATGTTATTAGTTCATAGTTTGTATTATCCCTGTCTACTAGTATTTCAATATAGTTTATTCTACATTTATTACAGGTCTTACACTTTAATTTGAGCCCTGTGTACATTGGATCCCCACCCGCCAACCACCGTGCCACCACCAATATAAGGAGCCATGATGGCTCAGTGAGTAAGACGTTGGCTCGCTAACCTGGAGGTCACGTGTTCAATCCCTGCGTTGGCCAAGAAAGTTCATCTGGATTTTCCGGCGTGGTTCCTCCTTGTCAGTGGTGCAGGACCGAGGGACAACGTATAGTCGTTCGGATGGGACGATAAACAGAGGTCCCGTGTACACATTGCCGTGGACGTAAAAGATCCGTTGGCAGTTAGAATTCGATATAAGAGTAGGCCGTAGCGCCACTGTCCGGGCAAAATTTCCCTCGGACCGTAACTTTCTGAATTATGGCCCCTGATTGTACGAAAAATCGCGTTTTTAGCTTGTGGACCCTAAAGAGATCATAATTTTTATCCGATTTAAAAAAACCATATTATTATATCACCGTTACACCCTAAGGACGACTGAATTCGAATTTCGTGAAAATCGGCCCAAAATTGGGAGACAAAATGGCCTCCGTCCTTTCTCAAATAGCGTAAGAATATGGTATATCAAGGTTGTGGACCCTATAGAGGTCACAATTTTTATCCGATTTTGGTGAAACTTGAAATGTAAGTTTATAACCCAAAGATCTTGGATACTTTCGATATTCACGCATATCGGACTGTAACTTCCTGAATTATGGCCCCTGATTGTATGAAAAATCGAGTTTTTAGCATGTGGACCCTATAGAGGTCATAATTTTTATCCGATTTAAAAAAACTTATTGTCCCCCGCCTTTCGAAGAAAGCAGGGGACTATTAAAATGGGTTCGTCCGTCTGTCTGTCTGTCTGTCTGTCTGTCTGTCTGTCTGTCTGTCTGTCTGTCTGTCTGTCTGTCTGTCCGTCTGTCCGTCCGTCTGTCTGTCCGTCACACTTTTTGGGACACAATAACTCTCTTCCTAATTGAGCTAGAATGTTCAAACTTGGTGTATGTGTTTATTAGGTCAATGCCTTGATGGAGTTCGAAGATGAGCATTTTCCGCTTAGGGTAAGCAGAGATAAGCAATTTGATTGGTTGATGCTTTGGGACACGATAACTCTCTTCCTAATTGGGCTAGAATGTTCAAACTTGGTGTATGTATTGATTAGGTCAATGCCTTGACGGAGTTCGAAGATGAGCATTTTCCGCTTAGGGTAAGCAGAGATAAGCAATTTGATTGGTTGATGCTTTGGGACACGATAACTTTTAATTGAGCTAGAATGTTCAAACTTGGTGCATGTGTTTATTAGGTCAATGCCTTGATGGAGTTCGAAGATGAGCATTTTCCGCTTAGGGTAAGCAGAGATAAGCAATTTGATTGGTTGATACTTTGGGGCACGATAACTCTCTTCCTAATTGAGCTAGAATGTTCAAACTTGGTGTATGTGTTGATTAGGTCAATGCCTTGATGGAGTTCGAAGATGAGCATTTTCCGCTTAGGGTAAGCCGAGATAAGCAATTTGATTGGTTGATGCTTTAGGACACAATAACTTTAGTTCTAATTAAGTGAGATTGATGAAACTTGGTGTATAGATTTATTATATGAATACCTTAACTAAGTTCGATAATGAACATTTTTTGCTGAGGGTAAGCAGAGTGATAAGCAATTTGATTGGTAGAAACTTTGGAACACAATAACTCTCCTTCTAATTGAGGTAGAATGTTCAAACTTGGCATAGGTGTCTATTAGGTGAATGTTTAAACTTGATGTATATGTAGATGTTCATTAGGTGAATGTCTTGACTGAGTTCAATAATTAACATTTCGAGCTGAAGCTAAGCAGAGCTAATCGATTTCATTTGTCGATGGTTTGGGACAAGATAATCTTGATTCTATCTGATAGAGAGTGATGAAACTTAGTGAAAAAAATAAATGTGCGATTAATTAATATGTGTCATCTATTTATTTTGCAATTTCGGCGGGGGACATCAGCCTCACTGTTGGCTTGTTATTATATCACCGTTACACCCTAAGGAGGACTGAGTTCGAATTTTTTGAAAATCGGCCCAAAATTAACAGACAAAATGGCTGCCGTTCGTTCTCAAATAGCGTAAAAATATGGTATATCAAGGTTGTGGACCCTATAGAGGTCACAATTTTTATCCGATTTTGTTGAAACTTGAAATGTAAGTTTATAACACAAAGATCTCAGTTCCTTTCGATATTTGCGCATATCGAATTGTAATTTCCTGAATTATGGCCCTTGATTGTAGGAAAAATCACTTTCTTGTTAGCTTGTTCTCTATCCATCTCTCGAAAATGTGGGCGTATCCTGCCTGGCAGCCGCTGGTATTTATTAAATGTTACATTTTTACCGATAATAGATAGTTAATAATTACAATAGTAATTAATTTTAAATATTATATTATAATTATAGTGTATTTTGAATATTAATTTAGGAATTTTGGGGAAATAATCGTAATAATATGTAAAATATTTATTTATTATTTATCTACTCTTGAGGAAAATAATCCTTAAATGAATTAGAAAATAAAGGACATTTATTAATAATTTATGTGTAAGCTATTAATAAAATTTATATAGGCCTATAGATACGACTCAAAGACTCTAGAAGACGCCGTAACATCAGTAAGAAACGGCCTATCATACCGAAAGGCAAGCAAAAAATTTAATAACCATAATGGCCAAAAACTGGTTTGGTCAAAACGGCCCTACTTTGGTCATAACGGCCAAAACATTTGGTCATAACGACCAAACATTTTAAATTTAATGAAAAACAATATGAGTAGATATAACTTACCTTTGATAAAAAAAACAACTGACAATTAATCTTTGATAAAAATAACTGCTGAGTATTAATCATTTGACAAAAATAACAATTCATTCATCAGATAATCATTTGAACATGGTTTCAACTAATTATCCTATCCAATTTAAATACTCTTTGATAATCTCTTTGAAGATGGCTACATGTGATTAGTGGTGATTAGCATTAACACTTTGGCTTCACCAGCGAATATGTAGCCTATATATGACCATCACAGATGTATCTATTCATCACTACCCCTTTACCAGGAACAAGATATGGCTGCTTCAATTCCAACTAATAATAAATGTGTCACCTGTAGGAAAACCATCCGGAAGAATCAACATGCTATCGATTGTGATATTTGCAAGAACTGGACACACCGATCTTGCAACACCGGCATTTCCAAAGAAGATTACATGCAGATTTTAAACTCAGAAACTGATTTCAGCTTTACCTGCAGCGTATGCCGTATACCAGTTGGTAATTTTTCACGTAAGTATGTTCAAAATAATTTTAAAGTTAAAATGGAAAAATGACTCCTTATTAATATTTTTCAAACATACACATGCAGGACTTATCTCATTATTATAATATTTTTCAGAAATACAGATACGGTACTTGCAGATAATTCCAATATTGTTACACCAACAACAAATATATCTTTCCATGAGGACGTCTTTGAAAGATCAATGGAGGAAGATATGGTGTGTGAACCAAGTTCAGCTACAACGGTACCAGAGTTTACAGGAAAATTACATGCTGTACTAATTAATTAACTGATTGGATAATCCCTAATTATATACTTCACACCCTCTTATCTCTGATTAGGTAATATGGGTTAAACATTAATCATTTATTTTTTATGAAATAAAGGTAAAAGACATGGCCATCTCCAATCCATTCCGACCAGCCAGGGTAATTTTTAAAGATTGTTAATCAATTGTTTGTAAAGGTACTGCCTGAGGATAAACTTAAGTGTCACTCCACGAGAAAACCATGCAAAATCCTGCAAAAGTGATAAGGTGCGGTGTCGGCACTTCGGATCCACATTCACAGGGATTATTCAGTCCGACTAGACTACTTGTTGACCAAAAGGGCCGATCTAAAAAATTAACCATTCGGGAGATATGGCCCTATAACGATTTTCACCGATTTTGAGTCAAAATTTTGGCCCACTCTTGTCCCATTATCAGAAATAATTTTTAAAGTTACCCCTTTTTCGAAATTTTCACCGATAGTGAAAGTTTAATCGCCATATCGACCATAAATTTGCTTGAATCTGCTCGAGTGAACTAGAAATGTTTGATAGAATGACTCCTGTATCAGGGGGAACTGTCACTTTTTTTTCAGATATCGCTCATTCACCGTTTCAGAAATTTTCGCATATTGACTATAAATCTTCATGATACGATTTCATAGGTTTGGTGACCAAAAGTACCTTTATGCATTATCGAAAATTATTTTGACGGATACCCCCTGTCTCTACCTAGGCCTAAAGCGGCGAAAGCTTTATAATGATCAGACCAATAGACGAAATTTTATCAAAAAAATTAAGTAAGGGAATCAGTAATTATACACAAACGTAACAATTAAGTAAGGGAATCAGTAATTATACACGAACGTAACAATTTACAGTATTGTTTATAGATGGATTGACTCGGCTATTTACAATACAGTGCCCATCTTTTCTAAGCGTCCGGCATTTTTTATAATGTATAATGAATGACTTTAAAATAACATAAAAATGGGTTTCTTGTACAATATAAATATTTTTGCGATATCTATTCTGCGTAGACTATGGACAAGACATCAATAAATTTCTGAAACGTACGATTTATATCAGATAGGCAAATTTAATGTTTGGCCTTCATATGAAGTTACTTCGCAAGATATTATCCTCGAAGAGTTGATCCGATACGATCCTCGAAGAGTTGTGGTTCTTATAGTTCACACTGTCCAATAATTTGAGAACGAAGTTTCCTTCTCGAAACTAGATCTGAGGCAGGTTCTTCATCAATTGTGTCAAGTTCAACCTGCCCGAGTGGATGACCGCACTTTTGCTGGGCAGCCAATCTCGAGAAATAACTGTTCACTTGTTTAGTAGTGAGCCAGTCCTCCTTTGAAAACTGAGATTTCATTAATTTCACAACATTGGAAGGCACCTCCTTTTTGCCAGTCTCGACCCCTATCATGAACCTTTGTAGCAAAAAGTCCTTTACTTTGTCGGAGGACTAGTCGGACTGAATAATCCCTGTGAATGTGGATCCGAAGTGCCGACCCCGCACCTTATCACTTTTGCAGGATTTTGCATGGTTTTCTCATGGAGTGACACTTAAGTTTATCCTCAGGCAGTACCTTTACAAACAATTGATTAACAATCTTCAAAAAGGGGTAACTTTAAAAATTATTTCTGATAATGGGACAAGAGTGGGCAAAAATTTTATTGTTGATTTTGGTAGCACTAGTACCCCTCTACATAATTACCGTTTACCCATCTTGCCCATACCCGTACCATCGGCTATATTTAATTTAATTTCAAAGATAGGGTACTTTCAAGGTGATGGGCGACACCTATCAGTGGTTTTCATACTATGTCTCAGAGACATGGATCAACATAAATTGGTCATGATGCTTGAATAGTCGAAGACATATACTATCATCACCTACCATCAGTATATCACGCAGTCCCTATTTTGGCATGGAAAAATGACTCTAAATATGCCTAAATTTTGACTCAAAATCGGTGAAAATAGGCTGAAAATCGTTATAGGGCCATATCTCCCAAATGGTTAATTTTTGAGATCGGCCCTTCTGGTCAACGAGTAGTCTAGTCGGACTGATTAATCCCTGTGAATATGAATCGGATCGGTTGCCCCCCCCCCCCTTATCACCCCCTGCATGGTTTTCTCGTGGAATGACACTTAAGGAAATAACAGAGAAATATCCTAAGCCAGCAAATATGGAAGTAAATATGCCTTTAGTAAATAAGGAAATTTGGTCGATGTTGAAAACTAACACGAAAACTACAGACCTGAAGTCTCAGAAAATTCAAAATAAAGTGGTTGAAACTTCTTACTTACAAGATTTCATTGAATATCCATACAAATTTCATGAAAATAAAATAAATGCAATTTCATTAGAAATTTCAAAATTTTTAGAAAAGGGTATTATTGAAAAATGTAATCATGTTGAGGGTGAATATATTTCAAATATTTTTACCAGAGATAAGAAAAATGGAAAGCTTAGAATTATTTTAGACCTCAAGGATTTAAATGAAAATATAACATATCATCATTTTAAGATGGAAACTCTTGAAATAGCTCTAAATCTTATTTAAAAAAATTGCTTCATGGCCTCAATAGAATTTAAGGAAGCTTATTTTTCTGTTAATGTAGCTATATGTCAGACAGAAAATATTTGAGATTTATTTGGGATGCTCAATTGTTTCAGTTTACCTGCTTACCAAATGGACTTTCCTCAGCTCCAAGACTTTTTACAAAGTTAATTAAGGTCCTTTTTTCCAATCTTCGGGCAAAAGGACATATAAATTTGGCATTCATTGATGATAGTTTACTTCTTGGATACAGTCTTTCAGCTTGTCAGCAAAATGTCATAGACACAGTTAATTTGGCGATTTCTGCTGGGTTTACTATCAATTATAAGTCAGTATTTAAACCAGTACAGGTTATTCAATATTTAGGTTTTATCATTAATTCAAAACAAATGACTGTAAAATTAACTCAAGAAAAGAGGTTACAATTAGAGAGTTTGCGGCTGTAATTGGTCTGCTTGTATCAGCTTTTCCTGGGGTACCCCCTATGGTAATTTATACTTTAGAAGGTGTGATAACTTTAAATCTAGTGCTTTAAAATCAAAATTTTGGAATTTCGATGCTAAAATATTACTTCCAGATTATTGTATTGAGGATCTAAATTGGTGGATTAAATATATAAAGTGTCAAGAAAAATCTCTAATCATTAAAATTAATGAATTTACTTTACAATCTGATGCTGCTAAAACTGGAAATGGCATTGTTTTCAATGGACAGGAAGCTAAAGGGTTTTGGAATGACCTAGAATCTAACAAACATATTAATGAACTTTCAAATTGCTTGCAGCAAAAATTGGAGTTTTTACATTTATGAAAGAATTTAAAAATGTTAATATTTTACTTCAAATTGATAACACCACAGCTGTTAGTTACATAAATTCTCAGGATGGTAGAAGTAATCATTTAAATGATATTGTCAGAGACATACTGCTATTTTGTATTGATCGGAATATTGAAATATCAGCTTCTTATTTACCAGGTATTTTAAATGTTGATGCAGATAGATTAATTCGTGATGATCCAAATAAAGATAATTTAGAATGGGAATTAGATTCTGACATGTTTAATATGATATGTTGCAATTGGGGTACACCAGGGCCCGGTTCCTAGAAAATTCTTAAAGTAAGCACAAAGTCGTGCTTCACTTTTTCTTCTGTAAGAAACTTATAAAAATACCGTCCTTAGAAAATTCTCAAGACCATTCTTACGTAAGCACAAGTCAAGTATAAGTCTAAGCACATTGTGACTGGTAAAGTTTACCATAAACTGAAACTATGACGCTCATAAATTTGTCGTCTACTTCACTGAAGTCATATATATACATGGTTGATTTAGATGCATTTGACATGTCCCCTATACACATATAAAATGTGCCACAAGATTAAATAAACACATACAAACTAACTGAATAATTGTGAGAGCGCCTGATCTTAAAGTAGCCTGTGTGTTTGTAGTCTATTGTTTACTAATTGGCAAATAAATAAAGTGATTTCAGTGTAGAAGTGAAATTTTCTATAGCATTCTTAATTTCTTCTGGGGAAGGATTTTCTCTGTCTCTTTGGTATCAAAAGGTGTAGAAAATGCCGTCGAATAACTCAACGGTCAGCCATCTTTTTGAAGCAGAAACAGACTTAAGGTTGGTAAGCAAGCCCTATACCTTGCTTGGGACTTGTGCTTAGATTGACTATGTTTAAGAACGAAGTTGTGCTTAAGTTTTTTCTTGGAACGCATAATAACGTTCTTGTGCTTAAAACGTTCATAAGAATTTTCTGGGAACACAAAATAAGGTAAGTTTACTTAAATGCAAAGTCTACTTAAAATCTAAGCACAAGAACGTGCTTAAGAATTTTTTAGGAATCGGGCCCAGAGGTTGATTTATTTGCCTCACATATAAATTATAAATTGTCTAGATATTTTTCTTTTAAACCTGATCCATTTGCAGAAAAAATAGATGCTTTTACGGTGTCATGGAAAAGCATTTCTTTTTATGCATTTCCACCTTTTGCTAAGATTGGCGGTGTTCTTAAGAAAGTTGAGACAGACTGTGCCACAGGAATACTTATTGTGCCATGGTGGAACACAGAATTTTCTTCTCAAAGTAAAATATTTCACAGCAAACTAAAGACATTCTCCAATCATCATTGAGGAAACCATCAATGGTTCAATACAGATCGTACATCGACAAAAGGTTTAGGTACTGTAATAAATGGGAAGTGGATGCCTTTCAACCATCTGTAGAAAATATTCTGGAATTCCTAACCTCTCTTTTTAAGTCTGGATTGAAATACAGTGCAATTAACACAGCCCGAAGTGCATTGTCTTCATTTATTACAATTAACAATCAACCTGTTGGTTCTTTGCCTATCGTGACAAGATTTCTAAAAGGTGTTTTTAATATTAGACCTGCTTTACCGAGAAATAAGTGTTCATGGGATGTAAATATTGTTCTATCGTGTTTTCTCCTGTGAAGAAAATCTCTTTAAAACTTCTGACTTTTAAATTAATTATGTTATTTAGTTTGTTATCAGCAAGTCGAATTCAGACTTTGCGGTTGTTGGATATAAGAAATATCCGAATGTGAAAAGGTTCAGTTCATTTTATAATTGGTGACAAATTAAAGCAAACTAGACCCAGATTTCATCAAGAACCTATCAGGATAAAAGCTTATGTTCCTGATAGATGTTTGTATTTAATGACAGTGTTAAAAGAATATGTGGATAGAACAAAAGATATTCGTTCATCTAATCAATTATTTTTAAGCTTCATAAAGCCTTATAAACCAGTTGGCAGGGAAACCATTTCCAGGTGGATTAAGACAGTTTTAAAATCAGCTGGAATTGATATAAAACAATTTGTTCCTTATAGTGTTCGATCAGCAGCATCGAGTGCTGCACTAAGAGCATGTGTTCCTATTCAATCAATAATTAAAAGTGCAGGTTGGTCATGAGATACCACATTCAGAAAATATTATAGGAAACCTTTCTCTAAAGAAGGAATTTTTAGTGCAAAAAGTTTGGAAAATTTTCATAACGATAATGACTGATTACAAAACTTTAAGCTTGTTTATTCCTTAGATTAAAGATCTAAGATCTGATGTTATAAAATAATTACTAATATGGTTTAATGTGTTTAATAATAAATGCTTTATTTTTAAAAAAAAACAAAATTTACAACTGTCTGCGTTTGATTACAACTTTGAAGTCTCATGTAGCCTCTAACCCACAGTCAATCAACATAGCAGAATTTAAAAATTAAACGAAACTTACCTGGAAGTTGAAGTTTGATTGTAATTCTGCTATGTTGTTGACGAGGTTAGAGGTAACATGCCCTCCATGTTGGGTCACTCCTTAGGCTTGTGCTGGAGTAAAATGTTCCCTAACTTCCTAGCTGTCCCCCTTTTTTTCTTCATTGTATTATGTTTGGAATCAAACACACTTTAAAGAATGATCATTTAGCTGCGCACGCATCTCATATTACCTCTTACCCCGTCAACAACATAGCAGAATTACAATCAAACTTCAACTTCCAGGTAAGTAAGTTTTAAATTTTGTGAAATGAATCTAAACTAAGCAGTTGAGTATCGACCCTTTCCTGGTCCTGATGCTAGCTAACACTTGATTATATTCTTTCTGTAATCTTATTATATATGTAATTTAACACTCTGTATATATGTTTATATCATTTATGTATCTTGCATTTGGTAAGCCGATTTATATAAGTCATTGGCTCGTTTCGGTATCCCGTGAATAAAATATTGTTTAAATAAATGTGTGTGAAATAGCTTTATGAACTATTTTGTATGCTGGCTGTTAGCGGCCATTCAAATAACATCCTTAAAGAAGGTGACAAATCGACCCGAAAACACGACAAAATAAACCAACAATTGTTGCCTTCATTTTGTCGACTTGGCGGGTCAATTCTGTTGACTTGTTATTATTCACAACATGACAAGCAGACAAAATTACAATTATTTCGACTCGTCGCGTCCAAATTATCCAATCTATGGTGATATATTCAAGTATGAAAGCGTAGTTGGGTCACTACTTATCTCAACATATCAAACTAATATATGCCAACTTCATATATAATATTATGGGGGGTTGGATTGCCGAATGGTTAGCACGTGCGCGCTGTATCATAAGGCCTGTCATTGAGTCAACTGGCCTGGTTTCGAATCCCCGGTTGTACGTGACAAGGAGTAGGGTCGCTTGTCCAACCTCGTGGGTTTTCTCCGGTTTCCTCCCACTGCTAAAGACCCATACGTGCAAGCGAATTATTGAAATAAAATTAAAACCATATGTTAGTCCCAAAATGACCTAGTTTGTGTCGAGTGGACGTTAAACCCCATTTCTCTCTCGCTCTGTATAATACTAGCTTGGATATTATATTTCATAATTTTTCATTTTCACAATACACCTTAAAACATGGAATAGTTTAACCTCGTCATCAAAACTAATTACAACAATTACAAATTAACTACGTAATTACTGATCACATGACCAATGATTAAATAAGAAGATGGTTGCATGATTTCTGTCTCTTTAATCGCGCTTAGTCGTTTGTTAAATTTTCTAGCTTTACACTTTTTAGCAAGATGCGATTGATTCCGTTTAGTTCATAGCTTTAAACTATAAAGTTTTGAGAAATTAAACAATATTTTAATCACTGTCGAACCTGTATACGTTTTATTACAGTACTCACAAAATGTAATTGAAAACAATTGATGTCGGTAGTTAAATCAACTCTAAACTTGTTGTTATAGGGATTATAATATATGTAGATTTATATATAAACATTACTGATCAAGAGTCTACATACCATTTGCTTTTTTCTTGTGTATTGTCATTGTAATAATCAATCTACAAATGGCATTGTATATTAACAACGGACAAAGGTATTTCCTAATTGACTTTTATTTCATTTGGCCTATGAAGTGTTTGATGACAGTATACTAATAACTATATCCGTTCACAAGTTCCTTTTTCTTAAGCCATGTTTGAAATTTATATATTTTAATTCAATTACAATTATAGGCTGCCAAGTCAAAAAGTACAGAAAGTATGCGAAAAGCTGCTAAACGAGAACGACTATTCAACGCAGAGTTTCCAAGGATTGAGTCTTCATCTGTTGCTAGTAATTCAATTGATTTGTCTGCTAGAGTTTTGTTACATCGATACCTGCCAGTTCTCCAATGTAATCCACTAAAAACATCAGGTGATGGAAATTGCCTATTCAACGCTGTTTCCCTACTTTTACAAGGCGACGAAAAACTATCTGTAGCATTAAGATACTTGTCATGTCTTACATTAATTGAAAACGAACAGTTCTATAAGAAAAATATAGAAGTTTCAAAGCTGCATAGACCTCAGGATTTTGCGCACAAGCATTTAAATTGCACATTTCGGTCAACTTGTCAGGTAGAAGAAGAAGTTCGCAAACTAACTATATTGTGGTGTAGGATGGGTTGTCTACCGAAGAAAAATGAATGGTATTCTGTTAACCATTTTGTAGCTGTAGCATGTGCAGCTGTCATTACGACCCCTTTGAAAAGGCAGAACACTTTTGAACCAGAAGAATGGTTACAACCTCCTAAATGTGCGAAAACTTCATCCCCATTGGAGGAATATTCTTCTAGTTCAAACAGGAACTCATTGGAGACAGACAATGACATTGACGAATGGATAAAACCGGAGAAAGTCTTGTCTCCTTTTCACGTCAGTACCTCTAGCTGTTCAGCAACTTCTTGCTACAACTCTTGGTCAGTGAGAATATAGAAAAGACCAAGAAATAACCCAGGAAACAATCACAGGCACTACCATCAGGGGCAAGTTCTGACGAGTTCAGTTTATCAGCCGATGAATTTGCATGCAGTTCACCATCCCACAGAACTACTATTTATTCGAAAACGTTTCTGGCAAGAGACGTCACCATGTTGCGAGATAGAAAAGGCTCAGAAGACACTCACCACCCCCACCATTTTTTGACAACTCGTCAGTGTATTCGAATGCTGGATCTTGTCCACCTATGCTCAAGCCAGCTCTAACATATTTTTACTTTTTTCGGTAATGAAACATTTATAATACATTAAAATCTGATTAAGAGTAACAACTCATTAAGTAATTATCAGAAAACCATTAGAATTTGTTTGGTTTTTATAAAGTTCTGCCCCATGCTAACGTTTAGTATACAAAACTTTTAACATCATGGATTTAGCTGTTCAAGTCATAAAGATTCTTGAAAATCAATATACTTGTTCGTCTCAGGATCTTAAACACTGTGTATAAATTTAAAGTCAATCGGATATTAACTTTAGCCTCTAGAGCGTCCACAAGATTTTTCAAAATGGTCAAGGGTCATAACTCTGGCAAAAATTATCGGAAATTGCTGAAAATCACTAGGCTTCTTTGTCTCATGGTCTTCAACACTGTATATAAATTTAAAGTCAATCGGATATTAACTTTAGCCTCTAGAGAGTCCACAAGAATTTTCAAAGTGATCAAGGGCCATAACTCTGGCAAAAATTATCAGAAATTGCTGAAAATCAGTACGCTTCTTCGTCTCATGACCTTAAACACTGTGTATTAATTTGAAGCCAATCGGATAACTTTAGCCTCTAGCGTCCACAAGATTTTTCAAAGTGATCAAGGGCCATAACTCTGGCAGTAATTATCAGAAATCGCTGAAAATCAATAGGCTTCTTAGTCTCATGACCTTAAACACTGTGTATACATTTAAAGTCAATCGGATATTAACTTTAGACTCTAGAGGGTCCACAAGATTTTTCAAAGTGATCAAGGACCATAACTCTGGCAGTAATTATCGGAAATCGCTGAAAATCACTAGGCTTCTTTGTCTCATGGTCTTCAACACTGTATATAAATTTAAAGTCAATCGGATATTAACTTTGACCTCTAGAGCGTCCACAAGATTTTTTTAAAGTGATCAAGGGCCATAACTCTGGCAGTAATTATCGAAAATCGTTGAAAATCAATAGGCTTCTTTGTCTCATGACCTTATACACTGTGTATAGATTTAAAGTCAATCGGACTGACGGACGGACGGGGGCGAAAACAATATACGACCACATTTCAATGTGGGCGTATAAAAATGACTGCTTTTTATTGATTAAATCGACTTGTTCTGAGTTTCCAGATGACTGTGGTGTTTGGAATTCACGTACAGGAACAACTGTAAATCAACACTTTATTTATGAACTTGGCAGACCTTTAATTGCAATTTATAAAAATAACTCTTTATACTGCACAAAAAAATGTTGTAAGAAATAAACCGACATATGTTGAGTTAAAACCACAACCAGAGAATATAATTTCATTTCACAGATATTACGCAAAGCTAAAACATAATTGTGAATATAGAAAGCAAATAACAAAACTCATTAGCGCCCAAGCCTCTGCATGGCAATTCGAAAGATACTGTACCATACATTCGAACTAATCCCGAAATACTAAGAAAAGCATATTCGAAATCGGAAAAGGCAATTGTTGTTGCACATAAAATGTGCTTGGATGACAGTTTAGAGGCACCGAAATCTGCACGACATGTTCAAGATAAAATATACCGCGAATCAAAAAAATCCAACTCTTCGATAAAATTGTAATTTAGCAGACGATATCTTGGCTATATTAGCAAAGCAGCATGACTCAACCAATATTATTAAAGAGGTATGTTTCAGTGGTCACAGACAACCATCTATTATTTTATATTCAAAAGAACTGTTTTGGTGAAAATGGAAGTGTGCTTGGAGTGGACAGGACTTTTAATTTGGGACAATGTTTTGTTACTGAATTTTCTTACAAAAACAGACCTGTTTTAAATAGAAAAACAGGCGAAGAACCAATTATGCTAGGGCCACTTTTTTTTAACTTGGGACGGGGAACAAGGTACATACAATCATTTTTTTGCCGACGTTAAGGATGCCCTTGGACCTGGGGAGTGGAAATTGGGGTGTGACCAGAAAAGGCTATACTTAATTCATTGAAAGAAAATTTTCCTTGTAATACCATATTGTTATGCACAAAACATATTAAAGACAACATTAAACTTTATTTACAAAAATTGGGAATGTCCGAAGATAACAGAAATAAGATTTTATATATAATTTTCAATAGCAAAACTGGCATAGTGTATTCGAAAAGCGAATCAGAATTTTTAAGTAGAAAAGATGCACTATGCCAGTATTTTAAAAAGGACAACAAATTTAAAAACTATTGGAATATATATATATAGAAAATAACATCAGAAAACATGTAAATTTACCACTTCACGAAAATAAAATAAGTAAATTGTGGACTAACAATAATTCAGAATCAATTAATCACAGACTAAAACAGCTTACAGTCTGGAAACAACACACTATCAATAATCTTATTGAAAAGCTAACCTTGGCATCTGAAATCCAAATTCTTAATTTACGACGCGCTTTATATGGATATCAAAAAGCTTCACAATTTTATAAATTTGATTTTGATGTTTGGCACTCCAAAAATAAAATTCTTTTTTTCCGCTAGC